CTAAACCAAGGATACAGGATGGTTGTAGGAGTATGTATTAAACACCTTGTAGACTAAACCAAGGGATACAGGATGGTTGTAGGAGTATGTATTAAACACCCTGTAGACTAAACCATGGAATACAGGATGGTTGTAGGAGTATGTGTTAGACACCCTGCAGACTAAACCAATGGATACAGGATGGTTGTAGGAGTATGTGTTAAACACCTTGTAGACTAAACCAAGGGATACAGGATGGTTGTAGGAGTATGTATTAAACACCTTGTAAACTAAACCATGGAATACAGGATGGTTGTAGGAGTATGTATTAAACACCTTGTAGACTAAACTAAGGGATACATGATGGTTGTAGGAGTATGTATTAGATACCTTGTAGACTAAACCAAGGGATACAGGATGGTTGTAGGAGTATGTGTTAGATACCTTGTAGACTAAACCAAGGATACAGGATGGTTGTAGGAGTATGTATTAAACACCTTGTAGACTAAACCATGGAATACAGGATGGTTGTAGGAGTATGTATTAGATACCTTGTAGACTGAACCAAGGGATACAGGATGGTTGTAGGAGTATGTATTAGACACCCTGTAGACTAAACCATGGAATACAGGATGGTTGTAGGAGTATGTATTAAACACCCTGTAGACTAAACCATGGAATACAGGATGGTTGTAGAAGTATGTATTAGACACCTTGTAGACTAAACCATGGAATACAGGATGGTTGTAGAAGTATGTATTAAACACCTTGTAGACTAAACCATGGAATACAGGATGGTTGTAGGATGGTTGAATAAGTTAAGTTTAATAAACATGCCCGTTTTATAACGAAATAAATTTTGAAGATTTTAGGTAAATTAATTTTCTCAGTTTGATACTGTGCATATTTCACATGGAGTCAGTTGTTGTTGTAGTGTGTAGTGTCACAATATCTATAACGTGCATGCTGTGAAACAAAAATTCTGTCCAACTGACTTTTTAATTTTTTTAAAGAAGCTCAATAATAAATGATTGGAGCTTACTAATTTTTGAATCGTAGTAAGTTCACAACGTGTTCTTGAGGGAGTATCTAACGAAAAGTGGGTTAATTCACCGCAACAAATACGTAGAGATATACAGCATCGCACTATGGTGTTAATGTCTTTTTGCGAAGGTAATGCATATCGGTTGTAGATACCCAGTTTTCTTTATAAATGTGAAGTGCCTTTTCTATGGCTGACAAGAATACATTTATCTTAAAAACGTTTATTAACGAGATACATAAATTAATAGCGTACCTGGCTGTCAAGTCCTAGGGTTAACAACATGATAAAAAACAAAAATGCCCATAAAGGTGCAATTGGCAATCGTGCGACAACCTCTGGATACACAATGAACGCCAGACCAGCACCCTGATTCACCACGTGCTCGACGTCTACGTTGAGCTCATGAGCCAAGTAACCAATAACAGAGAATATAACAAAACCAGCAAAAATACTGGTCAGTACGTTGCTCGTAGATACTATTACAGCGTCTCTGAAATAACATAAAAGTGAATATAAAATAACACGAGACAAAAAACAAAAACAATTATGTTAACATATACAGTATAAGTCAAAGGGTCCTGGAGCTGAGTATAATAATTCGTGTCTACTCTAATCCCTGGATTACTTAAATCCCTGAAAAATATAACCCTATCTTCTTTGAAAATGTTCTGGCAGTCTAATGTGTCCTCCTTTTATTTAGGGTATTTAAACATTAAATATATTGGGTTCTCTGAACAGATGTTTCATTTCTCAACCGAAGGTATTTACACAATAAATATATTGGGTTCTCTGAACAGATGTTTCATTTCTCAACCGAAGGTATTTACACATTAAATATATTGGGTTCTCTGAACAGATGTTTCATTTCTCAACCGAAGGTATTTAAACTTTAAATATATTGGGTTCTCTGTACAGATGTTTCATTTCTCAACCGAGTGTACTTAAACATTAAATATATTGGGTTCTCTGAACAGATAAAAGTTTCATTTTTCATGTTACATAAAAGCTTTTAATAATCAGCTTGCTCGACTGATGTAATAACAACAAAATACTAAAACAATTACACTGTAATTCACTGATAACTTCTGCAGTGCACATAAAGCGCTCTCATTATTCCAATGCTTAAGGCACCATCTTTATGGTAGGAAATGGTAGAGGGGGTTAATAACGAGTGAATGTTCTGCTCTGTTATACTACACGGTAGTAAAAACGTCATATTTGAGGCTCTTCTTAATTGTTCTGAAATACTACACTTTAAACCCTTTTAGTTAATTTAAAAAAGCGAGTAATTATCTGTTCAATTACAAAAAAAACTAAGAATAAATTTCCATTTTGAAAACTAGATGGCGCATTTTTATATTCGATATCAATGGTATTAATGTCTGTATTGTTGATTTATTAGGCAACACACACATATCCAAAGATTAGAATGAACAATATTGTACTGTTACGTCTCCGTTTGTTAATTGATTTTCCGTAACTTCGTTCCGACGAAACTTAAACGACACAAGTTCTTTACTTAATAAAAC